TTAAGAAGCTCATCGTTAATTCTCGTGCCAGCTTTATTCCGCATTTCCAAAAGCAGTCTTGAAGGACGGCGGTCGCCAAGTTGCATCCCCGAAATCAAATCCCTTAAGCGTTGAGCTTCAGATTCAGCATATTGAGCTCACAATCTTTTTTTTAAGTGCGGTGAAAGGCTCATCCACTGGTGAACTGATAATAATATCGCTGATTATCGCCAGTTCCTCCGGTTGTAGAGCAGAAACTACGTGGTGAAATTTCGTTGACTCTGTAGTTACTCCAGCAAGAGTGAACTGACTTTCAATTTGTCTAAACCACAATCCTGGATTAAGTCTCCAATAAGGTGGCGGTTTTACAGTGACACGAGCAATTTGTTGATCAGCAGTTTCCGTAGATTCGGGAATTTTTTGCATTAAGGGGAGTCGGTACCCTCTATACCGACAATGTTAAAATGGCAAACTTCGTGTACCTTTTTCTGAAAAACTATCAAACATAGAGCTTTGAAAATTTTTATGGTGATTATATGAACACTTATACATATACAGAGGTGAAAAGTTTACCCATACACATTGTTATTGTTTTTAAAAAAAATAAAAGCTGAGTACTACTGAAAAAATGTCATTTTGCAGTATGTTTTTAACAGCTACACATTTATTTTTATGAATAATCCTAAAAAGTTCTCCTCAGTATATGTATTAAGCCCTTAATAATAAGCTGTAGAAATTTTAGGAATTTATCTTTAGTAGTTTCTGAGAAAAAGGTACACGCAGGTAAAAAAAAAACACATTTTGAGAAAAAGCCAATTTAAAGTTAAAATTAATTATTACTAAAAAATTCTGGCACTAAGTACAAACCTTTCACATTTTTTTCATTTGTACAATTGACTTATTTATTTGTAGCACATTTGTTTTTATGTATTTCCCAAATTTTATCTAAAAAAGCTTAAATTGCATTATATTAAGTAAGTTACACATTAAGTCGACAATGTTAAAATTTCAAGTTTTTCACTATGTATTACAAATAATTCCTCATAAGACATAATCTATTATAGCAAATTCATGAATACGTATAATATAAGTTCAAGTACAAATTATTCTTTAAATTATTATTATTAATCTTTATTTATTAACTACCGAGTAAAATAAACACATCAATCTCACGATTCGTAATTTGCAAAACATTTGAAAAAATACACTGTTAAATATGCTCAAGCACAATTATAAATAAATTCACATTTAAGTTGCTTAAATTCTTGAAAGTAAATTTTATATATTACTTTAAAAATTCTGTATCAAAAAATTACAAATAATAAAAATATTTTACTATAAAAAAATTTTAAATCCTACTACATACATCCGATAATGTTAAAATGCCAAACTTCGTGTACCTTTTTCTGAGAAACTATCACACATAGAGCTTCGAAATTTTTTATGGTGGCTAGATGAACACTTATACATATACAAAAGTGAAAAGTTTATCCATACACATTGTTATTTTTTTTAAAAAATAAAAGCAAAATACTACTGAAAAAATGTCATTTTGCAGTATGTTTTAAACAGCTACACATTTATTTGTATGAATAATCATGAAAAGTTCACCTCAGTATATGTATTAAGTCCTTAATAATAAGCTGTAGAAATTTTAAGAATTTATCTTTAGTAGTTTCTGAGAAAAAGGTACACGCAGCTAAAAAAAAAAACATTTTGAGAATAAGCCAATTTAAAGTTAAAAGTAATTATTACTAAAAAATTCTGGCACTAAGTACAAACCTTCCACATTTTTTCATTTGTACAATTGACTTATTTATTTTTAGCACATTTGTATTTATTTATTTCCTAAATTTTATCTAAAAAAGCTTAAATTGCATAATATCAAGTATGTTACACATCAAGTCGACAATGTTAAAATTTCAAATTTTTCACTATGTATTACGAATTATTCCACATAAGACATAATCTATTATAGCAAATTCATGAATATGTATAATATAAGTTCAAGTACGAAATTATTCTTTAAATTATTATTATTAATCTCTTATTTATTAACTACCGTGTAAGATAAACACATCAATTTCACGATTCATAATTTACAAAACATTTCAAAAAATACACTGTTAAATATGCTCAATTATAAATAAATTCACATTTAAGTTGCCTAAATTCTTGAAAGTAAATTTTATATATTACTTTAAAAATGCTGTATCAAAAAATTACAAATAATAAAAATATTTTACTATAAAAAAATTTGAAATCTTACTACCTACATCCGATAATGTTAAAATGCCAAACTTCGTGTACCTTTTTCTGAGAAACTATCAAACATAGAGCTTTGAAATTTTTTATGGTGATTATNAACGAATTTAACAAAAAACCAAGCAAATCTGACAAAAAACAAAACAAATCTGACAAAAAACAAAACAAATCTAATAAAAAAACAAACTTAATCTAACAAAAAACAAAATAAATCTATTTAAAAACTATGAAATTGCCTGTAAAGATCAAGATAAGTTATTACATTTCGCACGTGAAAATCAAATGAAATATAAAAATAAATATTGAGTATTGCCTATATTAATTGTAACAGCAGTTGCATGAATATTTAGCTTATAGCTTTTACAGTAAAAATAAGAATTTGAACTTTTAGCTTGCTTAGATTATAAAATAATAAAAAGATTCTCGTAAACGTCAAAGCTTTGAATCATGTGTTTACGTTTTCATCTGTCAAATGTGGGCGTGGCACAGCTAGAGGAGCGTTTGTTTACATTTTGAAATTGAAATTTAACAGCTTTAAATTTGAGTAAATACATAAAATTATACATCATTGGAAAGCTCTTGAATAGGAGATTTCAAAAATGTAAAAATCTCAAAATCAATTTTTTGAAGGTTGGGTGGGTACTGACTCCCCTTAATCCGAAATGGATAAGTCCAACAATAGAAGCAATTTGTACTCACGGCTTGCCAAAAAATTTGAAACTTGAAATGTACCAGCATTTCTCCGTAATCCATCAACTAGTAGAATTTCTCAAATGCAGTTTGCAGAAACAGAAATATACGTATTCGTTCACAGGTCACCAATTGTATAAGTTTCGGTGATGGGAATGTAAGACGTCCTCCTTAATAGTAAAAGATAACAAACCATCAAGAAACTCACAAACTCCAATTACAGGTTATTCGTTAAAAACATTTAAAAGTTGTTATTAAAAAAACAATTTAAACTTAAACGTTCGATTGTAAACATCTCATACTGCAGGTGGGCGTCACCGGGTAGAAACGGAATATCGGTATGAAGTCTCGGTCGCTGCACAACAACCCTCTCGCAGGCAAACTGTCATCTCCTTAAGTACTGGACATCAGCCTCTTCACTCCCTGCCTTGGTCGCCGGTTGTGCTCCTCCGCCGGTATTTATCCGGCGCAGAAACTATTCCGGTTCGTCCTCCTACCTTAGGTCTTCGATCCAATACTCGATCTCTCTACCTCGGCTTTTCATGCTATCTCAGTTGTCGCAACCAACAGCCTCTACAGGCTATAAACCCTAAAAATTGATACCAAGAATCTATAATTATAAAATGAAGATTTCGTCTCTCATATGTCCCGCAGCGGACTGATCATTAAGACACGGTTCCCAGCAGATCACCGAAGTCAAGCATCACTGACTACGGTCAGTGTGCGGGTGGGTGACCACTTGGATCAGTCTGCGTAGGGACCGAGGATGTGCGGTATTGGTCTTCGTTAAACAGTGCTACCGTAAAGTGCTCGACTTCGCGCGCAGGTCGTCGGGCTACCGAAGCGGGGGTGCCATCCCCTCCGCAGAGGATCAAAATTGTGATGGCATGTCTTCGGATCATCCTCCAGGATGTTTTCCAGACCGTCGCCAATAGCCCATTGTGCAGCTCTAGTGCGACGTAAATTAACAACAACATCGTCTCTCATAACTCCAGAACAGTTTGAGTCTTGAAATTCGAGCAATGTTTGAGAGTTTTAGCTCCTGATTATAAAAATGATTCACAAACACTTTCCAGACTCCCTGGTGCAACTTTTGGTTCTGACTTGACCAGTACGGATTTGCAAAGAGGAAGGGACGCTGGATTAGCAACATACGTAGATATGGTGAAAATGTGTTCCAAAGGAAGAATCAGATTACTGGATTTTTGGGATTTGCACCGTTTTAAGCTAATGAGCGAACGAAATATTCTTGCACTTGAAGATATGTATGAGTAAGTGGTTTAATTCAAATTAGTATTAAATTAATAATTATTCCACAAAAATTTAGGTACCTAAATACCTTCGGAGACAATGTATAGATTTATGAGTGTATTATATATTAAAACATGGTATAAATACAAAACAATATGGGGGGAAATTTTCAAAAAATATGGGGGCAAACTAATAAAAAAAAGACCAAAACTTTATCTTTTCTCAAAATCACATAACTTGGTTAAAGTTTATTATTTTGTCACTATTTTTGCTTTATAACACTCATAAGAATTCAATTTAGGGAACAAACTAAGCATTAGACATAATATTATAATATTTAGATATTTTATAGCAAATGTGGAAACTTATTTCTTATTTGGTAAAAAAAAAACTAAAAATTGCAATTGGTTATTTTTATTTTTGCTGTATAATATAAAATAATATTTTAATCCACTAGTATATAGTCTATTCCCTAAGCATATGTAAAGAAATCTTTTATGCAAAATTTCAAGTATTTTGAACAGAAGTATTTTAAGAGATTGCATTTTGAATAAAAGAAAATAACCCAAAAATTAGTTTTGAGAAAAAGTACAGAAAAGACAGTTATCAATTTAATAACTAATATAGTTTTTTTTTTTTTTTTAAATAATCACAACTTCTGTTCTATTTGACGTAGAAATAATGTCCATCGTTTTACTTTATATAAAAAACAGAAAAATGATATTTTCGTCAAAACTGACCTAAAAACGGTAATTAGGTATCTAAGAAAGGTTATAATACTTTGCATGCACAAAATTAAACTTATGAATTCGACAATTTATAGTGCTTCTAGCGCACTGAACAAAACAACCACAGTTTAGGCAAGCGTTAGTTATAATTTGAAGCTATATAAACCGTCTTCCCTTAAAGAATTATCTGGGTTTCAGAACGGATAAACAATTTAAATACTTTAAAAGTTATTAAACATTTTTAAGAAGCATCAATTCAATAAGAGTTTTCCACCTAGATTTTTTTAAAAATTACTGATTTTCAAACTTTTATGAATTTAATTGAAGTAACTTTATTAATTATTAAAAATTAGATCATAAACAAATTTCCATTTCTACAAAATTGGGCATTTGTCTTCAGGTTAGCATTATCGGTATTGAAGTTAAATGCTATGAACTATTTTCTTTAAATATGAATAATTTACAATGTAAGTCGTGGTGGTAGTTACGATTTAATAATGAAACAGATTAAATAAATGAAAAGGAATTTAGCTTCTACCACCGCCCGTGACCTTTTTGTGATTTGTTTAAATACTTTTGCATTTGCATATGCAGGCATTATAATGTGGTTAATAGTAAGGCAAAGGCAAACTTCTGATGTTGGGGCCCTTGGCAACTGCCCCTGCCTTAATCAGGCTCTGTTGGTAACTAACATTAATAATTAGTAGTTATGAATAATAATGAATGATTACTATTAACTCTAACTGTTAATAATAATTTATAGCATTTATTGGTGTTTTGTGTCTAAATTTAGAGCTAATTATTTGTACCCTAATTGTTCATTTATCTAAAACTACGGAACTTGGCTAATAAACATTGGTATGATTTTCAGAGACGTCCGTGATGTTGATTTGATCAGTGGAATTTACAGAGAGTTGCCGGTTGTAAATGGTGAAGTGGGTCCCACTGCTGCTTGCATCGTTGCCACTCAATTCCATCGACTCAAATTTGGTGACAGTTTCTTCGTTACGCACAGAAATGGAAGATATCCTCTCACTCCAGGTAGGCAACTTTCCGTATCTCCTTATTTTGTTGTTGTTGTTTTTTTATATTAAAAGTATATATACAATTTGATCTTGATTCATATTTGTTTTGATCACAACTAGAAATAATCTTTGTAAATATTAAAAAACTAACCGCCACCTTTCAAAATTATCTTGCACAACATATAAACTTTAATAATAACCAAGTCAACTGTATTTAAGCATTATAATTCCTTAATTTATAACCGTCGTTGAACAGCCGATCCAATTTTCTGGGTTTGCGACTGCTCGTGTTCAACTCCGTTTCCGTCTTTACCTCTGCAATAAAAGTCTCTATTCCCGGGACCTTAATGGATACAGTCACAACATGAACAGACCATATAAGAGATATTCTATTTCAGAAAAGGTTAACCTTGCTTTTGCTCTGATGGACGAAAGGAAATTAATGTAGGACTTATGTGTAATATTTTCCATTGTATAACCAGCGCTTAACAGTTCATCCAATTCTAAGTGTATGACCATCAATGTTCAACTCCGTACCTTGTAATTTTGAACTAAATACAGAAGACAAGGGAACTCCTGGATCAAGTATGGGGAGAAATTTGCCTTCGTGGAGGACTTTTTGAGGGAAATAACCCGCATTTGCGCTACATGGAGAGGAAGACCACGAAAACCTCCCATGGTTACCCTCATATTAAGGGGACTCTAACCCATGATCCGTCTACCACTGAGGATATTTTACGTAAGGACTGCGGTCGGTGCGAAATTCGTATCGACCAGCCATCGTGGAGATTCGAACCCGGTCCACCGACAGCCATTAAATCACACAAATACCATAAGTTTATTTCAGCACAGTAGGCAGCAGAAGTATTAAAATTATTTTCGTCCATGTGGTTAAATAAGATGCATACCCTCCAACTGCTACTGAATTTCCGTAGTTTCAGAAATCCTCTTTTCAGACGGTAGCAAAATTAATGTCTTAATATTTTTAAAAAAAATTAATTTTAGCGTAACTTGTCCACTATTACTTATGAAAGTGCAGGCCATATGGCTAGATTCTTAAGTTCTGATAAAAGTTTTATGAGAGATCCATTTGCTTTACAAATTTCTACTTTGGTTCGCTACCACTAGAAAGAATTATTTTCAAAATCCTCATAAGTTGGAGGGTATGAAGATGGAAAACTCATCCTAATGCTCCATTACGTGCTGTACTACTTCCTCATGCACCTCTCGAGCCGTTAAAGAAATGTTCTCAATTCTTAAAACAAAATGTGTTGAAGAAACGACGAAATTGATTTGCCTGAATAGATAATTGATTTGCCAGAACTCACTCTATTTCCTGAGCCCCCACAACTCAAAAAATCACATTAAAAAAATGTTTGGGCTCGGCCGGGATTATAAACCTTAAACTATCCAGTATAATATTATTACTTTGCGCACTAATGTTTTGTGAGAGGTTTAATTAATTGTTGATAGAAAATATCTCGAAGTTTCTAGGCAATAGACAGCTTTTAAGCTGACTTCTGTCCAAAAAGCAAAAAAAAAAAAAAATTTTTTTTAAATCCCCTTTGAAAAGAAAACTTGAATCGATTTATAAATTATTTATGATTTTCTAAATTTTTAGAAGTTAAATACATGAACTTTTTATCTGATATTATTTAGATTATGCTGTTTATGCTATATTTATTCGAGGATTTCATACTTAAATCAAATTAACATAACTTATTATAGCTATATACAAAATTTTAGGGATAATCATGTTTACAGCTTTAATCGAGTTTTCTAGGCAAGAAAGTTTGAAGGAAAAAAAAGTGCTTGAAAAATAAAATGTAGATTGTATAGTAATTCTAATGCACATTCACAAGGTTTTCTATAATTTACGATATTTCTATTTTTCTATAACTCAAGGAATTGCTGAATGTTTAGTGGTATTTTAAAAACATTGAAATATGTTATGTTTAAGATATTGAAATAACATGATGCATATTGTATGAATCATTGTTTAAAAAATTGCTTCATTCTGCTAGATATTTAGGTTACATGGTTTTCTTTGGATAAAGATGATTAGCAAATAGCATCCTCATGTTTCGATACATTCTGAAACTTACGTTCGCAAATGCACCATAAAATGTCGCACAGCATATTCTTCAACTACCATAAGCTACATTTACCACCAAATACTACTACTATGATTATTTTTGTTTTCTTATATATATCTGATACGATACTCTCTTTTTAAACAGAGCTCGTAAGGTCCTTAAGATACTGAAATGAGGGCACGAAAACTTAAAAGATAAAATATTTAATTCCATTAACTCAAAATATCTGGTCTCAAAATTTTAATTTTAAAGTTGAATATAAATTTTACAATATTGATGCTCTTACGTTTTTAAAGACCACGTAAATCCTGTTAAAATATGAAAATGCATATGTTTACTTTAACGAGTGTAAAATCCTTAACAAAATAAGGTCAAGATCCAAATGTAAAACAGTAGAATTGACAATAAAAACTCAACTGGGTTCAAAAAATATGAAGAGGGAAGTAAAAGTCGACATGTTTCGAGATTTCAAATATAATCGCCCAGTCTCAAGACTTTTATTATTGGATGCTCAAAACATGTTTATTTTTATTATCATCTATTATTTTTTAAATCAATGAAGTTTTTATATTTTCGATTCAGTTTCTTGGGATTATCTATTTAGTGACACAACATATTAAATTATTTCACTCGATATTAAAATAAGTTTTACATAAGTTGTAGGCACAGGTTCTTAGATTGAAAAAATAATAATTCACTACTTTGTAAAAAAATTAATGCAGTAAAAAAAAAATTTTTTTTTTTTTTGCTGCAAGCCTTAACATTTTAATTTTAGGACATTAAAAAATTCTATTTACAATTGAAATTTCA